TATAGCTCCACTGTACACAGTTTCCGCTTTTCGCAGACCAAGACTTAAAAGAGCTTCAACAATCATCAATTGAAAGCTAGCATAAATGTAGGAAAAGGACTTGGTCTTCAACTCTTTAGGGTTGTGCCACACATCCTATTCCGTTAGAAACCCTCTGACGTTGAATTCGACTCGGATTGTATGCACAAACGCAAGGACAACCGACAATCCGGCGTTTCACCTGCCCATCAAGTAATACTAATTGGACTTCCCAGAGTGAAGGAACACTCGATTGACCGGGTAGGAATTTGATATGGGATCAGGGTCAACCGTGTGTTGCACTGCTCCCAACGAGGAGGGGTCGTATTTCGGGTTGGTGAAGGTGAAAATGTGAAAATGTGGGTCGTGTTTTTGGAAGTTGCAGGGGTTGTACTGGACGGGTTTTATGAGCAGTTCAGAGGAAATTTCGTAAAAGAAGCAGGGAGTAAAAAAATTGTGGATTCCTCGTTGAAAACTAGCGATTAGACGGGCTCTGTTGACTGATCTCAGAATCAAATACTAGAGAGTGACACATGTTAGTGAGGGTGTGGTCGGGATAGGGGGATCACGGTCGCACGAGGGGTCCCTAAGGTGGAAGAGGTTGGGGGTGGGGTTATAATCAAAGGTACCCTCTGAGAAGGAGGAGGTCGTGTTCAAATGTAGCACGAACAACGCGCGACGCCATAAATGCTGAAGCGTGTACCTGCCTCCTGCTTCTCGTTTTCTTTGTGCTCTCTCAACCAGGAGAGAATGTGTCGGGCAAACTCGCCGACCATACTGAGGGCCGTTCATGTAGGAGGTGGAGGATGGCACGCATGTAGGATTGGCCTTCACGTGGGATGGGGCGGCACCCAGGGATGCCCTCCCTCAGACTGCGCGCAAAGCGCGTGCAACGCTCAGACTCGCCGCGAAAGTGTAGACGGGAACGCTGCGACGCTCCTTCATTCTGGGATTGCTACCATGGAGAGCAGGGGTTGTCTCATTGTTAGCGAATTTGTAGTGTTGTTTACTTGACCGGAAAGGGCGTCGAATGCGACGTGCAATTGTACGTGACTCTTGACTACGGCGGGACTAATCGTATTTACTCTTACTTCGGGTGCTCACTATGTCTAAATGGCCTATATCTCCTGTGTGAGATATGACCTCACGAACCGTTTACGTTGATCGTGTCAACTATACGACTCGTTCATCTCCAGGAAGAGCCAAGGACTAACTTACGTTCCACCCATAACCCATAATTCAGTGATCGAATAATCAAAAGCGTCGACTAGTACAAAAATCGTGTAACTGAAAATGGAGCGCGAATACAAAAGAAAGGGCTAACTCGAAGTACCTAAGAAGATAATGATAATAAGCATCAAAAAAGCCCCATAAGGAAGACGAGCTCTAACAAACAAATCAAATTTCAAGTGCTCATTCCACCCACATGACAGGCAGCTAAACATTTCGATATGAAGGCTGATTTCGTCTGTTCAATGTAGCACGCTAGACAAAACATCGCGTATCTCATTCAACAAACGCCCAAACATCCGGAAATGCCCACGACGTCAAATTGCTTCTTCTACGTTTTGTTTGTAGCACAAATGCCCCTGAACTCGGATTTTTCGCTTCAAAATAGCAAATTTCCTGAAGCGCAACAAATGGGCAAGAAATCAACTTCAAGAAGCTCAGCTGAGGTGGAAGTGGCCACGTACCAAGTACATGCATGAATTCCTACCGCCCAATAAATGAGCAGCCTAATTATGTACACAGTGGAAACTAGAACTTAGCTTTCATATTATAGCTCATTTTCATTTTTTTTTCGGTTAGGGACAGACATCGACGTGCGAGCCCCTTACAGTACTCGGCCTCAGAGTGGAAAGGTATTCTGGAGGAGGACCTGAGGCTAAGCTATTCTTCCCCCTGGCGTCTTTTTCTACTGGTCTTAGTCTTGGTACCAACCTAATATCTGTTTTTAATACATTCACGACGGCGCCCCTTGTCCTTTATCTTAACATATAAGACATCGTAGGATTTCGGTCAAAACGACGAATAGTGGTAACAAAAGGGGACATTTATTCACGTCTCGCATCCGGCAGGTGAAGGAATTTAAAAATTTTTAAAAACATCGATTACGAAGGCTTTGACTGGCTATCTTTCATTTATATGGCGTTGCGAAATGAATCCTGGCGCCTATATGGGTGCCATTCGCCCCAACGATCAACAATTCCTTTGGCAAGGCCATATGGGCTGCCGTGACGTAGTGTGTTGAATATGCCTCATTTGAATGTCCCTCTGAAGCATGTGTCCATATTATACGCCTTAGGTTATTTCTCTCCAAACCTACAGAAATTTGTTCCCTGTGCTAATTTATTGGAAAGAATCAAACGGTAACGCGTCGAGAAGTGCTCCTGAAGAGAGTCGGTGTCTTATTCTACTCGGGGAAAGGAGCTGCTAGAGCACATCTATTGCTTCTGCGGACATACATATACTAACTTTTCTCGGCAGAACTTGAGTCCGATAATTCAATAAAGATAAATGAAACACAAAGTGAGTTGGTGAAAAGTTGTTTTGTATTGAATCCATCTTGGACATTCCCAACCGACTGAAGCAACATACCCTATAAACAGCAGTCAGTTTGGCCGACGTCAGACTTTGCGAATCAAGCGAATTCGCCAGCATCCGCGGTCGCGTTGCGGTACCAACCAATAGAGCGATTCGCTGGCCGCGACGCGACCGCGGACGTTAGCGAATCGCTCGTTTCACAAAATCTGACATCGGCCAAAGCAAGGGTGCTTAATCGTTATTAGAGGCGAAGATAGGGAACTTGCCCGTAAGATCAGCCTGAAGGTGATTTTCCACGGCGATTTTGCTAATGCCTCACCCACACCCAAGGTGATATGATTGAAAAAGAACATTGATGGAAAGTGAATAGGTGGGCTTTTCACTACACGGCACAGACCCTGTCTATAGTGACTCTCATTCGCTTATCTAGACGCACCTGGTAAGAGAAGGTTCACGATCTATGATTGTGGGAAAACATCAAATTCTGGGTCACTGAAAATATAGTTTCCTGGAAAAAAGTTGGCGAGTGGTGGAACCCCATCACTTCTCCAAACTTAGAAAAAAAAAAAAGTACGCATTTACATAGCATATACCTTGGTACTTGTACAGTGGCGCCAATAAAAATGCTCAGAAAAAGCCAAAAAGGGCAGAAATCAATGTAAACTCCCAATATATGATGTTTAGTACTCATGAACTGGTCAAGAACTCTGCGACTGCGCGGTATTCGACGCTAGGGAGAAGAAGTAGCCCGAACGCACAAAGTCCATCGAGTCCCCGGGGAGCCGGCGGTTTTTTCATACCTCAGCACTCGCATGATAAATTCACATCATCTCTGATTTGAAAGTGATAAAAAGGGCAGCCACCTCTGTTCTGACAAGACAGAGAGCAGTCGCAAGCAGGATCAGAGGCACGTGTACAGAAAATCTGGTAGAATAACCATCATTCCTTACCTCATCATCCAATTCTCCCCAACTACGGCCCACGCTCAGCTCACCTCCATCGCCGGTTGCCTCTTTCGCGGAGCTTTCCCAAAATAAAATTTCCTAAAGAAAAAAGCTAGCTAAACGATGCTAGGAGTAACCCTATACACGCAAGTGCAGAGGGGAATCCGGAGTGCCGAACTACGCCAACGATCGAAGATCAGGGACGCTGCCGTTTTCGCCAAGGAATCGAAGATAAGGTGGGCCGGACACGTCATGCGATTTTGCGATGACCGTTGGACCAGAGCGGTTACCGACTGGATCCCTCGGGACGTCAACGAACACCTGGACGACCGCCGGCCCGATGGTCAGACTTCTTCACGAAAGCTCTGAACGAAAGGAATGAAGGACTTCGTGTCCCTCGAGCGAGGAGGGTCCACTGGACAACTCTTGCACGCGACAGGGACGAATGGAGACGTTGCTGGCGCCCGCTCGAGCAATTCGATGATCAACGGGACGACAGGTGATACAGGTATAGCTATACGAAGTTATTCTAAGACCCTGTCTAACAGCCGCGAAGAATCCCTATTTCCCTTTTGGACCTGTCCACACTTGAAATACACTGCCAGCTCCGAACAACAACGATATGCCTTCAACCCAAAAAAAGCCGAATTTGACCGAGGTAAGCAAACCAGCCCTTTTGGCGTTTCTGCTGGGGCCGTATGCTGAATGTTGGGGAGGGGATGGGGTCCCCGAGGTCGACGGACTACTTGAACTCGGTCGGTACGGTAGGAGAGTGATGACGAAGTGGTGCAGCTAGGTCCAGCAGCTCCGCCAAAGGGCTGGTTTGCTTACCCAGGACTAAGCCTTGGAGAGAGGACGGACCTGCGCTCTCTCGCAGGTCCGTCCTCTCTTTAAGGCTTAGTCCTGAGGTAAGCATCAAATTGAGGCGGTTTTAAGGACCGAGTTGAAGTAGTCCGTCGACCGTCGGGGACCCCATCCCCTCCCCAACATTCAGCATACGGCCCCAGCAGAAACGCCAAAAGGGCTGGTTTGCTTACTTCAACTCGACCCCCTATCGGGGAGTCCTCGAGTCTGGTTCGACTTTAGCCAAGCTGCATCGGATGATAATTAGCAGACCGTGGCGATGGAATCCAGCCAAGTGATTTCCTACAGCGGAGCGGGTTATACGAATCTTAGCACTGAAAACCATTTACCAAGAATCGCTATTCATATGACGGATGGCTGACAATTTGGCCGAGATGAGCGATAACACAACTATCAATCGCTGATCACATTCGGCTAAAAAGCGTCGTTGTGGTTGCGGTGAAAGTCCATCCAGATCTCAGAGATAATGAGTAGTGTTGTGGAGAAATTTCTGTGAATAACTATCCCAGAAAGATTCACGAGGAGGAGGAGGTGTGGTCGAAGAGGGACAGATGAGACAGTCGATATCGACCTGCGAGGGTCGTGTACAGGTCACCTTTGACCGTATTTAGTTGTTCCATTTACGATCGGATGATAACGACACGGCGAATCGCAGAGCGACGTCCGAGCCGAATGGTGAGTTTGCCATTCCATCATATGCACTTGTGGCCACGATTCTTCTTGCACTGTGTTTGTACAATGACACAACGACGTTGTTCTCTTAGCGCCCAGACTCGACGCGCTTAGCCCACTCGTTTCTTTGTAGTACTGGGGCGGTTTTTCAAATAGGTCCTATTTTTCCAATCTTATCCATCATAGTAAACACTGGACAAGAAGGGTTAAGAATTGTCGTAGTGCTTGATTTTTTCGCCTGTTTTCCCGTGGTATTGCTACACTTCTGGGGGAGGCGGTCAGTCTTGCTCCTAGGTCAGGTGAGTGGAGCTTATTAAGTCCTAAGGCTATGCTTGGCTTTAGGCTCAGGCTAAGACTAATATCTCACACTGGCTCGTGCTGAAGCCTATTATCGGGCCTAGGCTCATTTCTCGGCCTGGTTCGAGCTATGAGTGGTGTCTTAAGTTTAGGCGAATTGACCTGAGGAGGAGAACTGAAACGCACCCCACTTCTGGTAACATTCTGCGGCTCTGAATCAATTGAAACCGCTGGAGTTTCTCAACCCGCTAGCTGTCTTCTTTATTGTCTTCTTTATAAACGCTTGACATCAGTGTGTAAATGGAATCCAGCCACTGATTCTAGCCGCTGATGTTCTTAGCGGTTTATTTATTTATTTATTTATTTACTTATTTGTTTATCAGTTTATTTATTTATCTAAAACTGCACGTTTGGTGCGCCCAAACAAAACCAGAACTCGTGTTAGTCGAACATAAAACGAATATTCGAGCAAAATTTCTCCTACCTTTTTTCTCTCTCACTCTTCTGAATAACATTTTAATCCGGCGTTCTGACTGCCGTTCCCTTCACCGCGAAGTGTTCGTTCTTACAAGCGCATTGTGCCAATCAGGGTGCGCCACATCTCAAGGAAGTTTGGCTAAGCGGAGCTTCTTGAGAGTTGCATAACCCTCTTAGGATTCCACAGTCTGCCCCAACCTCTAGGTCATATAGCTATCAGGATTAGCCATCAGCTTGGGGAAGGTTTTGAGGTCCGACGTCCTCCGCCCCTGAAGTAGGTCTTCCCCTCCTCAATGAGAGGTGGTAGAATTGCAGACCTCTTCATTCAACTAATTCTACATTTTTTCCCAAAATAGCCCGCTTTTTCGCTTTTCGTGGCGAATTTTTCATCTGCTTCGAAATGATTCCCTTCCTACTGAGGCAACACGTTTACCCAGACTACGATCAAAAAAATCGAGCACTACTTCCTCCCTGCTAAACCTTCCTCCATCCCGTTTGAGATTGTGCCAGCCTTCCTCAAAGAAAAATGTCCGTATAACGGGAGAGGAGGTCAAAGGGCATATAGTACAATCGGAACAGGAAAAGTCCAAAATTTTGACTAAATTTTCATTATTTCACAAAATGTCTCTCAAACTTACTAAAAAATACTTGGCCTGTCTAACTCCGACTCATCTCCTGGAAATACTCTCTCACTTCAGAACATGTGACATTCCTTCTCCCAAAGAACCAATTGCGATCCCTTATAGAGTCCTCAACGCTGGCTCGCCCTGGTACCAGTAGCCGGCGCGTCCACGCATGAACAAATAACGGAAAATAAATAAGTAGAAAGTTGCAAAAGAATGCTGGAGCGTGAGCAAAACGTTCGCCCCAGATAGGACGCGAACTCGTAAGGCAAACTGCGGCCAAAAACAGCAGTTAACAATCAAAAATAATTAGAAAGCTTTGGACCCGCTTTCAACGGTTTTCATGGTCTGATATTCGTTCGATATCGGAAATCGAAACCTGCCACCTTACTATTTCCTAAGAATTTCCTATTCCCATTGTTGTTATTTTTCATTTTTCACTTTCTCTCCTCTACTTTCAGCAGTTTTATTTCAACTTTCCGTAGACTCCCTCTGTTTTGTTTCTCGCCGGTGGTGGAATCAAAGCCAGCACCACTATTATGTATGCGTGCAGATCGCATTTCTTTGTAACATTAGGCTAGAGGAATTTTTTTCGGGAAATCAATACTTGCTTCGAATTCCTATTAATTTTCATTCCACAGCAGAGAAAAACACAAAGCGCTGATTCTGATTCTAAACAAAAAGCGCCAAAGCAGCCTCATGGATTCTTGGAATAATTCTGATTCATTTCTTCTTCGTTCTTGTCTTCTTCTACCTACCATTACCCCCCTGCTGCACAGGTCGATCCTTTGTGTTAAGAAGTTCGTTATGCGCCTTCGTCCGTGAGCTTTACTTCAGGAAGGTCTTTCGTCAACGTTCTCAACCCTTCTTTGGACTCCATCCGTTTACTTGGCTTCAACATGTCTTACTTTTCCTACTGGGTGATTCCGTGGTTTTCTCAGCACACGTCCTTTCGCTGCTCTGGTGGTTTCAGCTGGGCATGAGCAGTCGGCATGGCCGCCCTTACATCTTAGTTTTCGCCCAACCACTTCTGCACTTATTTATTTTATTTTATTTATTTATTACCTACTATTGCAGTGCTTTTCACAATAAGGTGACATGGTAAGGTAGCACCATGGTTTCACATGTGCGGAATGATAATTGGGAAGGTGGAGGTTGGCATGGCATTGGAAGGAAGAGAGGGCAGTGCCCCTGGCCAAACACTGCAAGCCACGGGAAGGGATCGCGACTCCAGATACCAGCTTGTTAGGTCCGCCAACCTCAACCGAAGAGCCAGGATGATCAGAGTTGGTTAACTGGGGGCCGAAAAGGTATCAGAAAAAAATTAATAATTAATTATTATTATTATTCACACTCCAATTGAGCCAATACAAAGCGATGTAATATAGGATCTTATAATCGACAAAACATAAATTACACTTAAATTATGAAACAACAATCACCACTTGCTTGAATGAGGAGATAAAGAAAAGGAGAAAAAGGGCAGATAATAGAGGCGTAGACGTAGCTGAACTGGAAAGAAATGCGGTAAGAAGTGGTAGAGCTGAAATAGGGGGCGATTTATTTTGAAACCATAGTGTTCCTTCTCCCGATACTGATTCATTGCGTTTGTATTTTGAGCACGAAAGCGGGCGAAGGAGCAGGAAAGGTTTCCTCCATATCCTCATATCCATTCATGATCCTTTACAGAATCTTATATTCTTAAAGCATGGAATTCGGTAAGCCACTGTCATGCCCTTCAGCAATGCAACTCTCTGCCTTCATGCTGGTGATCGTACAATTTCCAGCCAGAACTGCCGCGTCAAGTAGCCATCATCGGAGCCGGGTTCGCAGGACTTTCTGCAGCAGCGGTCCTGGAACGTAAACATATCGACTACGTCGTTTATGAAGGATCAAATCGTGTTGGCGGACGTGTTTATTCCGTTCCCTATGGTGAGCTCGACAGATATCTTAATCTCTAAGGGCAGGGCCGACGTAGAGGTCAGCAGTTGACGAGCGCGAGTGCCTTAGGTTACAACAGCAGAGGCATGGTATCACTGGGAGCGTTTTGAAGCTGAAGAACGGGTTTGCCCTGATAATAGGAAGAGAATCTAGGCCTTCGTGCAGGATTTAAGGCTTCCAGACTGTTCCCAATGACTGGATTTTGCAGACGAAGGGCTTCTTCGAGCGCTTCTCAAGACTGTTACAATTAGGAAGTACAGGTGTCCTTTAAAGGCAAACTCCGGGATTAAACAGGTGCTATCAGCGCTTTGTAGTGATAGCTTAGCTGCGGAACGACCTGAAAGTGGAAAGGAAAGCAAGAGATCTTTGGGAACGCTGAAATTAAGGCCTTAACCTTCAATAAGGGTCGGATGTGGTACGATGGCGAGAAAGGGCGGTCAAAGAAGACAAAATACGCGAGAGAGCACGTCGTTTGAGAGAGCACGCTGATCTCTACATCAATGCACGCTGATCTCACCACCTCTCGCGGTGGGTGGGAAGCGTTGGAAAGGGGTCGATGGTTGCAGGCCCGTAAGGATTAGCGCCCTAACCGCGCAATTTTCGCGACGAAGCTGGAGTGATCTAGGTAGGTACGGACCTTACAATTTCCCTCGTGGTATCCCTCCTACTAGTCGGGCTAATCCCGGGGTTTGCCTTTAACCCCATCACCTTGAAGCCTGACTAGTGGCGTTTCTTACCCTTCCTAAAGAACTCACCTCTATGCAAATTCAGCTGCGTCATGAGTAACATTCATTGAAAGTATGGAGATTATTTGGGCATAATATCACAGAAGTATAGCTCACTAAGAAGGGAGAGGGAGTGACAAAAATTTGTAGCCATAAGGAAGGGGTAAATTTTTGATGCACAAACGAAAATTTCTGTTTGGTAAACAAGCAAAAAATGTTGAGGACTCATGTCATTGGGGGGGGGGTGAGAATTCAAGTAAGTGAGCCACTCACAGTACCTGGGACTAAGCTTTAGGGAGAGGAAGGGATTCCTGAAGAGCATGTCAGCAATTTTGTTCTCCCTGGCGTTCCTCTCCTCTGTTGGGCTTAGCTCTAGTAGTGTCACCTACCAGCGATTTTTGAATGCCTGTTCTGAATGCCCCCCCCCCCCCCCGCGAACGACATGAGCGCCAAATGTTCCTTTTCAGAGGACGGATGGCTACAACACGGTGCAGAGTTTATAAATGGAGAGAATAATGAGATTTTTCGGATTGCAAACGAAAAACAGCTGACCGTACAGTATGTGAGAGACTTTGATCTCTTCTGTACGAACGTCGTATATGGATTGAATGGGAAAAAACTTGACAAGTGGGTTTTTTTCAGCATCAACGTTGGTGTTTCAATAACAAAGCCTTGTTTAATTTCTTCATTCAAATTCAGTGGCGTTCAATTCAAGCATGTGAAAATGATTCGCCAAATCTTAATGCCAAGCTTTTATTGTAGATGAAAACTGCTATTTGAGCGCAGGTTTAGACTCGTCATCTGAAAAAATCAATGAAAATATTCAAAAAAGGAGCTTAAAGGATAAAGCATAAAGATAAAGCTTGCCGTTGATCAATCCCTTTTTGGGATGCGGCACGCATTCTACTTCCATTTGTACATTCGCAGTGGCGTTTGAATGCGATGTGGCCTATACAATGACTTGCGGGGGCCAGCCGATGTACAAGTCAGTGTTTTTTATCCTCCAGACAAGTCTGGTACCAATTAACCGACCCCGGAGGGATGGAAGGCTTGGTTGGCCCGGGCGACTCACGACCCAGGATTTGATCCCCGGACCGCTCGCGTGGTAAGCGTGCCACTTGCCACTACACCACTTCCGCCCAAACAGAAATAAAAAGGGAGATCATGAGCAAAAGTTCTCATTTCTATCATGATAGGTCTAGAGCAGTGTCAACCATCACTTTGTAGTATACAAAAGGGAACGAGAAGGTCGCACTTTTGATTTTGGAACGAGGTCGCATTTGGGGCTGGGCAGGGTCGATTTCTGCAATTGAAGGTGGCCTGTGGTGCGTAAAAGGGAGCATTGGCAGACACTTGATCTTGCTGCCTTCTTTGTACATTTCCCCCACCCTCCACCCCCGTTGGACGGCCGTTTTGGAAATTTTAGAAGAACCATGGGGCGGAGTTGTTGGGGCTGTACTGAGTGGTTTCAGGATACTATAGGCCGATGGCGACGGTGGGGGGTCGAGGTACGGGTTGGGAGATCTTGTATGTAGGGTAAGCCTCCTAAGACTGATTGTGGTGGGGGGTCGCATCTAGAACCTCCCAAAAAAGGGGCGAGGGCGCAAAATTTTTGCAGAGGTGCAAACCCGACGGTTTACCATGGTCTAGAGAAACGCACACATTTTGTGTACAAATTAGGCGGCTTTTGATGTTCATATGAGATTGCTTACACAAATAAAATAGTCGAAAAATAATAATTATTGTGAGAAAAATTTTAAAAAAATAAAAATCGGTTCAGATCACTGGTGAAGGATTGGCTCGATTTCGTAAAGGACATCGAAGAGCAGTTTGCAGCAGAAGCTCTGGAACGAAGTGATATGAGTGTTGCTGAGAGATTCCAGGAACTCTATGAGCAGTGGATCTCTGTGGTTCCTTTTATTTTTTTCTTCGAATTTTCTTTTTCTCTTTTTTCTGTCGCTTTAATCTCATACTTTCCTTGGGAAATTTAACTACATCGATTTGTAGTTTTCCAGTTTATCTATTACCCAGAAGCGGTATACCACTGGTCTACGGATTTCAATTACCGTCTTCAGAGCCAATCATGGAGCTCAATATTTCGAGGTCCATTCCAATAAGAAGGTGTACACGGTTAAGAGCGAATGAAGTCAACAAAATCACAACATGCATTTCTTACCCATATAGAAATTTACGACCAAGCTTTATAAGGAAACAAAAAAAATCCACAGTGTAGGGGCGATTTCATTTCTCCCGGAGCTATTCCTGCTCCTAGCTTATTTCTCCAAAGATTCTCATACCCTGCGGCACATTTGCTTTAGCGCCATCTTCAGTCCAAATACCCGTGCATCATACGAAAACTGAAGAAATGGGGCAGGAGTAAAGCTGCTAGCAGTACGTAACCTCAAAAAGCCCTTTGAACAAAACTAAGATTAGAGCAGGGTGTTGCACCGCGATGTCCCTTCTGCTGGAATTTGGCCCCTGATTTTTTCGTTACGGGGAATTTTCAAATCTGTCAAGGACGCCGTGAAAATCCAAAACCTTAATCTGTTAATTCTGGTTCGTTCTGACTGTTCAATACCTTCAGTAGTGAGTTCAGGTGGATGAATCCTCTTGGTCGACAGCATAGAGGTCACATGTGTACCATTTTCCTGGCTTCACAGTGCCGAACAAGAGCGCAAGGGTTTCCCCCTTGCAAAAATCGTTTCAACCACTTCCATTTCTCCTAACCTTTTTTTTTTTTTTTTCGTAGCACTGTCTAAACCCATCATCCGCTGTGCTTTCTTGCCTGTTTCTCTCCTGCGCAGGGTCAACCGTCACGTAAGACCAATTTCGAAAATTTTACGACCCCCCTTCTAGAGGGCCTCGATACGACCCCCCTCAGGGTTAACCCTTCACGACCATCCTCCCCACCCTCGCCGATTCTATAGTATTTGATTCTGAGACCAGTCGACACAGTCCAACTCCGCCCACTTTCCATTCCAAAATAGTGGGGGGGGGGGGGTGATATATCGAATGTCCAGCCTACAACCTAATCCGCTCTCCGTTCCATAAAAAATCATCCCTTCCCTTACTGTAACATTGACGCTACCTCGCGAAATACGACCCCCCTTTTCCCCCCCCCAAATACGACCCCCCACCCCCTCGTTGGACTTTGTCCAACGGACGGTTGACCCTGCTCCTGCGTGCTCAGTCTTTCATTGCCCTAGCATGGAAATGAGTAAGCCCGCAATTTTAGCATTTGGACGAATTCTTATCCTTTTTTCTTTACTGCCCACTCCAGTTTGATCCTGGCGTGTCTTTAATTGTAGGAAATTCTCCTGTCACTCCCAATATCACATAGCCTTTTTCAGCGTGATGAGTTCAAGGATCACAGAGCAGTTTTCGATCGGTTGGCCCGCTTATATCTCACATACTATGAAATTGAGTGGTCATCACCAGCGAATGAGGTAGGACATATTGAAAATCTTAACTCAACAAAAAGAGTGCAATAAAATTGAAATTTAGCTAAATTTATGTCTATAAATAGACTTCGTTCGCAATCGCGCACTTCAAAAGATTCTGTGGTGAGCGGGAATCCTTATTTCAACTTCGCCTTCCTGTGCAGCCTACCACTGAGAATCCTATCACGGATTCTCGAGTTTCAACTTCGCCCACTTTGTTGCAGACCTCGTCTAACATCAGAACTTCACATTCCTCTATCACACTAGCTACTCTATTCAACACTTTACTGTCTAAAAATCCCATCGTGAATTCTTCCTTTTTGCTCCGCATTCTAGCATCGCCCTGCTGATTGATAATTATAATCGTGCTGCTAACTTAGTTGGGGGGGGGGGGGTAGGGATCGCACGCGGCGCGCCGCGCGTTCTGTTCGTCTGCTCCATCTAAAGCTTAGTTCCAAGGGGCAGTTACTTTTCGTCGCCACTTGAGCAGTTTGAAATACGCGCCATCGGCGGACTAACCTTGGAGGAGCAGACGAACAGGAGCGCCGTGCCGCCGCGTGGTCCCCCCCCCCAAAGTTGCTCTGAAATTTTCCCCTTTATTATTACTTATTTATTACATGCCCAGAGAAAACAATAAATTCATGCTGTGCTGCTGTCCTGTACTTACGCTTGTCTCTCCTGCTGAACAATACTTGTCCAAATAAAGTGCTAACGATAAGATAATAAAGGATAAAGGATAAAGCATTTGCCGTTGATCAATCCCTTTTTGGGATGCGGCACGCATTCTACTTCCATTTGTACATTCGCAGTGGCGTTTGAATGCGATGTGGCCTATACAATGACTTGCGGGGGCCAGCCGATGATGTCAAGTCAGTGTTTTTTATCCTCCCAGACAAGTCTGGTACCAATTAACCGACCCCGGAGGGATGGAAGGCTTGGTTGGCCCGGGCGACTCACGACCCAGGATTTGATCCCGGACCGCTCGCGTGGTGAGCGCGCCACTTGTCACTACATCCACTTCCGCCGCGATAAGGATCTTAAAAGGGAAAAATTTCAGACTTAGTGCTTATAGGTGCTAACAGGTATTATGTCCACCAGACTTCCCTCCATTTGCTTATTTAGCTACTTGAAGTACTATCAGGATGATTATGGATAATAACTGATGAAAGATTTCTAGTCGACTGTTCCTCTATCCTTTATTTTGTTTTGGCGTAGATCCTGAAGATGGATTCCTCCTTTCAGCTTGCCCTTCTCAACTTCGCGGACTGGGACGACGGTGGAAGTGAACCGCGGTCGTTCACTTTGAAAAAGAAGGGATTCCGCGACATCCTTGAAGATATCAAAATAAAAGTACCTGAAAATCGAATCAAGTTAAATAGTGTGGTTACAAAAATCAAGTACGCAGGTGAGAGATTTTTTCAGCGTATAGTGCAAAACCTTCATTTACAAATGCCTGTTCTCGTTTCTCGAGGAACCCGTGGACATTTTGCCTCTCTTAAGGCGAGAGCATCACTCACATAAGTAATTGTCACCTGTCCATTAGGCTTTCTGAAAAGGAATTACAGTTCATTCTTCTGCCCTCCACTCGAGTCACGAAAAGCCGATGCCATATTAAGCCTTGGTGAGTGCATTTTCTATGAATACGGCGATTTGGCACGTGTACAACGTGCATGCAACATGCTAATGTATGACTACAAATGGGATAAGGATGTGTGGAGTATCCGTAAAGATTGATTTAAAAGCAAGCACCTCTGATTAGCCCGACTTGTGCAACATGATAGCTGCGCTGGAATTGAAGTCCTTACTGCTCCTAAAGATAACTCCAGCTTCGCGCGCAAAAGTTGCGCGCTCAGGGCGCTAATCCTTACGGACCTACAAGCCCCGACCCCCGTTTCAACGCTTCCCACCCACCTCGATATCGGCTCTCGAACGGCGTGATCTCTCGCGTGTTTTGTCTTCTTTGACCGCCCTGCCTCGCCATCGTTCCACATCCGACCTTTTTGAAGGTTAAGCCTCAATTTCAGCGATCCCAAAGATTTCTCTAGCTTTCCTTTCCACTTTCAGGCCGTCCCGCAGCTCAGTCATCACATTACGAAGCGCTCTATCACCGGTTTTATATCCGGCTGCCTTTCAACAGCCGCCAGCTCTATGTTTTTTGTTACTTTGTACTTTTGAAGTAGGCTACTACTTTAATTGTCATTACGGTGTCGGCCCGAAGCAGGTGCTATGCAGTGGTTAGTAGCATAGCAATAACAATAATTGAATGTGTGTCATGTCCACCCGCAAATATTAGTAGTAGGGAATGAATGAAGCACATGTGAGGAAAAAGAATACAGAGCGCCTTGCCCTCCTCGCTGTGAGAAACTTCAGAAGCGGGCAGGGAGTTGAGCAATAACTTGTGTAGCGCTGAATAACGAGCGACTTCAGACAAGATATCAACGGGGGTGGATCCATCAGTTAGGTTTGGTGGCGTCTGCTAAATGTCCTTGGCGCCTACCGTCCTAATGGCGCGTTTCGATGTAGGAAGATGGCACAACCTGTGCACTCGCGTTACCTAGCACTTCTTCGAACCAAAAGGCTTAAAGGCAAAAGTCAGGCTCGTGTTTGGGCATTATGGCGCCTGAAATTGAGTGTAGAGATGGGAGGTGGAACGACAGTGAAGAAAAAACGCAAAGAAACCGTCGACAAGACCGAAATCGAAACCCCTTCCCTTCTAGCAGTGAAGGAGGCTTGCTCGGGGGAGAGCCACGTCCAAACGAGTTTTCCGGATATGCCAGCCGTTCCATCGGTTGATACGGCAATCAAACCTAGCTGATCTCACACGTTAGGCCAGCCACGCACCACATCCCGCGGTGGGCGGGACCAGCTGATGTAACAAACCCATCGCTATAAGTGTAGGCCAGAAACCTTGACGGCGCGCAATCTCGAGTCAGGAGTGCGGCAACACCCCTCTGAGCGCATTCCTGGAAATTTTAGTGATGGAAAGGCCTTCTATGGTCACCTAATCCTGACTCGTGGCTTTAAGGCTCTGAGCTAACATTTGGCCCTTGCAAGAGGATACGAACGCGCCTACAAATCTCGAGCTTCCCAATTCTCCATGGTAGATGAATTGGTACCAAAACAATCTCAAAGAATAGAAACACTAACCATAAGTGCTGCATCCCAACGCCTCAGAAGCTGATAGGCTCGTTTCGTACCTCCGCATTGAGCTGATTTTCCGTGTGAACAGGCAAGATACCCAATAGAGTATAGTGTGCATCGAAAAGAACCATAAGAAATTGCCAGATCAGTCCCAGTCGTGGATCACTTCCTCTTGCGAGAATTTTTCTCCAGCGAAGCATGTAGAGAGCGTTAGAAGTGTCGGGTACTCCGCTTCTGAGCCGCTGCCTCTGCACCACTTTGTTCGCTGCGGAACGTGCATCGTCCCACACCCTTGGGAGGCCTGCCTGCCTTTCGAGAAGGTGTATTTCTCCTTTTTCGACCTTCAACCTTATCATGGAACTTCTCTTTTGAATAGCATCTACAATGCCAGTAAATAGCGCCTTTCAAAAAGGATTCACTAACGAGGAATGCTCAACTGGTCAGTCCGGCCATTTATAATGAGATGTAGTCCAATGACGCGTCTTGCGACGCTGAGCTCAAATCCGTTTTCGTTATCTGCGGAACGATTCTCTGAAAGAAGTTACGAGGGGGATCTTCTCACTATGGCTTTTTTCACTGTGGCATCCTCTACATTCCCCTGTCCTACACGGTTCGCATAAGAAGAGCCAGAGAGCATCTCACACAGTTGGCAAAGTGGCCTAATGGATATCTCCCTAGACTCATACGGGAGAGGTCACAGGATCGGACATCCATAGAACTGCAACGTTTTTGCATTTTTTCATGGCTTCTCATACAAGCCCAAAAAGTGTCTATATTTGGTTATTTTGTTGATTTGCGTCCCCACTTGACATGTGGCTGAGACAGACTTTGGAATTTTCCTCTCGTCCGTCTTTTTAGGTTTTCTATTATGATGAACTTTGACACACGGGACAAAACACAAGGACACAGGCTCGTAAATATACAAAATTTCAATAATTCGTGAGCATATGTGATAGTTCTTCACATGGTGATCAAAACAAAACAGCTTTTCGCAGTTGCACAGGAAATAAAAAAGAGCTAAGGTGATGTAGAGGGTGCCACAGTGGGAAAGTCACAAAGAGAAAAATCCCCCCTAACTTCTCTCAGAGAATCGTTCCGCAGATAACGAAAACGGATTTGAGCTCAGCGTCCACAAGACGCGTCCATTGGACTACATCTCATTTCAAACGGCCGGACTGACCAATTGACCATTCCTCTCGTAGCACTCGTATTTAATCCTCAGGCCAACATCTCTTCTCAAGACCAAGTAGTCCGCTCGATCTAATTCCCTTTCGGAAATGTGTCCTCTTTTCGAGTGTCAACGCTTGCGCCTTCCCAGACAAGCAGTGTATTATCCACCCATCTATCCGCCTCACGGAGAATATGAACAGGCTTAGTTGACATGGATTGTACGTATACAATTCAGCGCAGGCTACAGACCATGCAGCTCGTTGTAAAGCTAGTAATACGCTGATTCCAGGGGTGGCTGGAGAGTTGGGATAAAGTACCTCCTTAACCTCCCACTTGAAAAAATCTGAATAAGTCTGATACCAGTTGACCGATCACGGAATAATGCTGTTTGCTAGGGATTTCGATTCCCCGTCCCCCGCACGCTGTTCTTCGTTTTCGTAAGCGCCGCCTCTTCCACTACACCACTTCACCCCCAGCACTTAATAAACATAAACAACTAATCCAGTTGATCCATTTACCGCAATATTATCCTTTTATGCACCACAGTTTATTATCGCCGTTTTCATTTCACTCATAACATTTATTGACAAAACCAAACCAAACAAAAACAACAATAAATGCGTAATCAACAAACGCTCTCGAACAGTCCTCTCTGCAACCGTGCCTTCATCCCAGGCTTCATTGATTCTACGAGCAGATGCAGAAGCATTCGGTTTCGAGCTCAACTTGCACTCATGTAGCAGGGGCAATCTTTTTTGCTAGTGTGTAAGCTCCAGAGTGAAGCAAATACACAAGTGTTGTACATCAAAATGTACAAGAGATTGAGCGCTTTCAGACTACATCATAATCTTTGAAAATAATCAGCAAAAAATCAAAGAACCATGAGCCTGAAAAAAGGCGGATAATTATTGCTCAACCTGATACTTCATGCAAATTATAATTATTGAACAAGGAAGAATAATTTCCAGTTTCCAGGATTTGGCAACATGATGAAGGTGTTCCTGGAGTACACCCGGCCATGGTGGCCTCAGGACGCCAATGCGATCGCACCGTTGGAATCACACAGCCCACTGGCAGAATCGTTCCCGATGCTGCAGCCTCTCTACTGGAACAAAAAAGTGAGTCTTAATCCGTCATGTTTCTAACTCTGGACGGTGCCAAAGCCAAATATTCATCATAAAGATCTTACATTCAGATACTAGTTGCATGGGTGTCCGGTAAAGGGCCACAGTTGATCAGCAAACTTAGCGACGAAGAGCTAGTCGAAGGACTCACACATCATTTACGGGAGGCGTTAGGGGACCCAACAATACCTCTACCCGTGAAGATATACAGGTAGAACTGTGGATAGAAATTGGTCCAATGCATGCGGCGCTATTAATTCATTCATGTTGTAGGCACAGCTGGATTACGGATCCGTTAGTGGGAGGCAGCTATTCGTACCTTACACCTGATTCTGTGAAATATGTACCTGACGCGTTCGTGAGGATGGCCGAACCGATAATTATCGAAGACAAGTATGTCATTTCCTCTCACAGAGTAATTTTGATGTTAAATAACTTGTAATGGAATTTCGATTTTTTACAAGTAGAACACCGGAGGTGTGCCGAGTTCTCCAGGCATTCTATGCAGTTCCATGATCTTTACGAAATCTCTTGGACGCTCATGTCTTCGGGGAAAACTGAGCGCTGGTCTAGAGACATCTGGTATCCGACACGAGGCCCGTCGCGCGGCGAGAGGGCAGAGGCATGGACGCGTCGTAGCACGTGCCGTGTGATGTGGATAGTGCGTTTCATTTAACTTGACGCGCAATCGCAGCAGTGCGCGTTGCATGCGTCCGCATCTCTGCCTTCTCGCCGCGCGACGGGCCTCCTGTCGAGTACCTGAGACATCGTTACGCCAATCGTCCTCTCCCTACTTCTTGGCCAGGGTTTCACCCAGGCCGGCTAAGGTCTGATATGTAGACTGATCTGCACACTACGTTTAGGCCAACGTTCAATGCCCTTATTATCTCATGTCTACGATCAAACAGTCAATGCTTAAAGGCACAACCCAGGCAGAGGTCGTGTGAACGCTTCCCTTCGGTCTGTAGTATAGACCCTAGAGGACAATCACAAATGTGGCGTTCTCGTGCACGGAAACCAACCGACAAGAGCGCTTGGGCCTTGCAAAGTAAGCTGCTGAAGCTGCAGATTTTTCTCTTATCAGGCTGTTGTCTGGCGCTCTCTCATCTGTAGCGCTCTCT